TGCACCCGTCTCTACCTCTGCTGCCGCAGCATAAGAATTTCCTTGCGTTCCTCCAAACATACGCGACAATAAAACCTAAAACTTGAAACTTGCCTATAAAGGAACGTGACCTCAGCCCACTGACTGGCGTTCCATCGACAAGTCATGGAGGTCAAGTCGCCGTTGGTCTCGCAGGAGATGGCGATGTTGAAGTCTGTCCCGAAAACACACATGAGACAGGTCAGAAGCCAGGGGAACACAAGTCAGAGGGGAGTGATGGAATGTCAGAGATGCACAGCTCACCCGTGACGTAAATCTGAGCGTAAGGGTAGCTGCAGCGGGATCTGGCGCCGCTCTGCTGGCAGCAGTGCAGCACGTCGTACCCCCGCTGCCGCGGGGGTCTCACGTTCAGCAGGGTGACGCTGCTCACACGCTCGCTCACCACGCTGTACTGGCTTTCCGGAATCTTCTCGTGGTAGTTCAGCCACCAGGCCACATCTTCGGCGCGGAGGCTCCGGTTATTGAACACGCAGCGGACCGTCACGTTGGAACCAGTGCTGGCGAATAATCTCTCCGGGAGGTAACTCACTTCTGCGGATAAAGAAGAACAAACAAATGAACAAACAAACAAACAAACACAATATTTTTGAAAAAGAAGGTGCTCCTTGTCCAGTGGGACTTCATGAAAGGACCCTCCCGCTTCCCCAAGTATGGCTCGCCTTGTAGATATATTATATCAACTCCTATCGCAGCTCCACAGATTTTCAATTAGTTGCCATGGCAACTGGCAATAACAAGGATTTCCAGAGAGCACTGAGATAGTATTCCGTCTGAGGGAAAGAGAGGACATCAGAGAAACACCAAAACCGATGAGATTTATTGCCTGCCAGAAAAACAGCATTAAATTTCCAGGAATTTTACGTATTTAAACGTATTTTAAAATGTTCCGTGCCAAATATACGGTACCCAAAGGCTAAAATAGTAAATTAACCTGTGAATGGTGCCACACCTCCATCCTCCATGCCTGTTTTAAGAAAAAGACCCAAACACCCAGGGCTGCCTAGAGGATCTGCCCGGATGATTTATAACAGATGAAGCCTCACGTCGGGAATTTACAGAGACAGCTATAACAGGTGGCCAAATTAAAGAAGGTATTGCAGGAGATGACGGATGGGCAATGAATGTTTGGCTGCTCATTACAGTGTCACCCCCAGCGTAATGTTAAAGGTCCCCAGGAAATAAATAAGACGACATGTGATATGTCAGGCCCCTTCTCTCGTTGCGCAATGGAATCCTGAAAGATCTATCACCCCATTTCACTTATTTAACAGACACTTTTATCCAAAGTGACATACGTTATTTTATTTTATTTTTAAGGAAAACAGGGTCAGTGTGTGGAGCAGTGGGGCTAAGGGGCTTGTTCCGGAGCCTAGTGGTGAAAGCACTTGGCTGGCACACAGGATTTGAACTGGTGACCTTGTGATCACAGGTAGAGAACCCTAACCTGCCCCTCCCCCCCCCATCACCCTCCCTTTATGGTGCACCCACCCACCCCATCCTGATGAACATTCAACTCTGACTCGACGCCCGCTCATCTACGCTGTGGGGGGAGGGGGGGGGGTGCACTTTGGACGTCACACGAAAGCCACGCCCTCATCAGCAATAGCTCACCGGGCAGCACAACATAAACCGCAAGCTCCACCATCCCGTCTCAAATGCCACAGCACAGGGCTCCATCAGAGGGGCATGAGAATGGAGTCTCCTTAATTACTGCCCGAGTCTGTCTCTTTGCGAAGCGTAACCCTAAAGTACGGTGGTAAACAATTAAGAAATCCTGTCCATTGTCTAACTGCTTCTCCTATT